TAGGTCCTATTTAACTTATATTTTTGTGGAAATTCATATAAATAATTTTATTTTAATAAAGAATGTTTTTAATATAATTGTCATTTATTTACTACCTTACCGTGCTGTTGAGAAAACCAAATTATAGGGGTAAGTGCAATCAATAATACAAATTAAACAATGATTTTGGCTAAGGTTCGCCTTACTGTTATATCCTGTTTTAAAAACTATTTTAAGTAGCTAAAATAATATACTAAGCGTACCATATACCAATATGTATTCGTAAGTTTCAACAGTGTGTAGTGGTAAAAGGTTTTAATAAAACGGTTATTGTATAACAACATGTAGTGGTAAAATTTAATTAAAGCAGTAGTGGTAACGATCACTTTGCTGTAATGTCAATTCGTAACAATAACTCATTACCATTCTGTAATGGTAGCAACTAAGGTTCTATTGGTTGGCGCCTATTTTACCATTACCATGGGTACCGCTGACCGCTTTTTTCTTTCAGTGTATCTCTAGTTTGTGAAGCATTAATAATGTTTAGGCCGAAAGAGGATGTTTTATATATATATGGGTCGTTTTCAAAAAACACCCGCCTTCCGCTGTCCGTAAGTTTGAATTACAATAACTTTGTTAAAAATTATCGGATCTTATTGATTTAAAAACCAAGACTAACAAGCCCTTAGTAAAATCTTTCAAAAAATTTTTGTTTAGTTATTTCAGAATAATTTTTTTTTAATTTTGAAACTTGTGAAACACACATTTTTGCATGTCCCATTAGCAGTTTATAAAACTTACATACATGTTTTTTTTTAAATATTGAATAACCAGAACTTTGTGTTGCTTTATAGAAATCCATAACATCCTTAGTTAATACAGTAAACAATTTATATATAAAATAATTAATTTTAATCTATTTTTTTTTAAATTTGACTCATGTCCCAGACATTTTTTCCGTTGCATTACGTCCGTCGCGTTACCGATAGAATATTAAAAAAAACTATATGGGAACTTTTTTGGTACTCAGCTGAATTTATTTATTCAATCAGGAAGAAGATATCGGTTGAAACAGGTGCGGGTAACGCGAATGTAATAATTGTTTGTCCGCTAAGTTACCCAAAAAAATAATAAAAATAAGGTAAGAAAAAATACAAAGCTCATTGAGAGTAATTAATGACTATAATGTCTTATTATTATTTTTTAAATATGGTTTTACAAAACTTTGTCCACTGCGTTACCGAGTCCACTATGTTACCTTATGGTAACGCAATGGAATTTAGGCTAACGCAATAGAATTTTTCGACAACAAAGTGGATATTTACCATCGCTTTTATTAAAAGTAGTTTATGATTAACCAATTTAAAATTATTTGTAATTACAACTCATGATATAGATTACATCCAAGGAAAAATTCCACGCAATATAAGTACTAAAAGGGACCTTCACCAGCTTATATATAGTCAAAGAAAAAGGGTGCCAAAATTTAGAAATCTAAGTTGTTATTCTGCAAGTGAGCACCACTACAAGGGATTTTGTTTATGCATGCATTACTCTAAAATCGTACCACCCTATATAGTTTCTTTTTTACGTTATCTGATTAAGTCCTTTGTGTACTCCTGTCCGTTATGATACCAATGTCTATTTCGTTACTTTTTTTAGTTTTTGTTAAAAAAATACTTAAAATGATTTTTATAGACTATCACCTGGTAATACGTGTTTATAAATTAGAGTTTAATTCACTAATACAGTGACTAAAAGAAAATATTAATGGTATTGTTTTTTTAACAAAGAATCGGAATGGTTTCTTTTAAAAAGTAACTTAACGAATATACATATTTAAAAAAAAGCATACAATTTTTAATAAAAAATAAAATAAAAAATTGAAGTCAAAAGTTTGTGAACTAAGTACATTTTATTTTAAATTATTTTTATAACAACTTTTCTTATTGAATTAAATTTTGGATTTCAAATTGGTAACACAGTGGAGATATATAAAGCTAGCTAAACACATTTTTCTGAAAAAAACGTAAAAAAAATTAAAAAGTGCACTGCCTGTCTTAAATGTAAGTAAACAAAACTCTAAACATTTATAAAAATCCAACCAAAAGTCAATTTAAGCAAAAAAAATATTTTGATCTTCATTTTCCTGAAAGCGGGTGTTTTTTGAAAAGGACCCATGTCTAATATTTTTTCGGGTGGTATGTTAAAAGTATTTTCCGAATTTATTAATTTTGTTGACATTAGTTTTTTATGTTCTCTATCATGCACTCTATTTAAATCACTGTTATTCTGCAAGATGTCCTGTGACGAAGAAATCACTATATTACTTACTCTCTAAAAATGAATTAGTCAAAAATGTCATAGCGAAAAAGCAGCCACTAATAATTCTCGTCAACAGCAATTTGTATCCAGGTCATTTAGCAGTCAATTCCTATGAAATATTATTCGCTGAATCCAAAAATGTTGTCAACAGTTATAAAAGTAGAACAGTTTTTAAAATAGAATCAATTTTAGATACAATATGAAATTGACTATATCTCAAAAACTGCTTAACTTTTATAGTTTTTGACGGTCTTTTCGGATTCAGGGGACAATTTTACATAAGAATTGTCTGGTAAATGCCCGGGATACAAATAGAGTATGATATTGGACGTCCAATAATATAAATTTACATTTTTTAAAACCAGTAATTGGACACTGGCCATTTTACTGTTACTGTTTTCAGAATTAAAAGTAAAACGCATTAAAGTGACAATGTTTTAACCATGAGGAAAACATTTATACCACACAGTGAACTGAACACTTATTAGAAATATTTTTTGTTGTAATTTAAACACAGCCCTGCTCTTAACAAAAAAACAAAAATCTTACCACCAAAGTAACGTGCGAAGTTTTTTGTCCTATATTGGTCCCAAAATAAAGTTCTATATTATTACCGACTGAGAGAGTTATAATTGTATACAGCGTCATCTAATGATTAGGTAACTATTTATAGAACTCTTGTTTTTACAGTATTAATGTTAATTGTCCAATAACTATAAAGTGTCCGATAACTGTCTACTTTACCCTATCTAAAACGTTATGACCACTTTTGACCCGAAAATATGGAATGACCCTTATAATAATTTTAGTGAGATGTTGCTTAAAATTCACTTAAAAAATCTCTGAGAATCGTCATGATGTTAAATGGTATATTGGAAGGTATAATAGGCGTATCAAGATTTACGAATGAAGTATATATACTATATATGCAAAACTAAAAATTCCGAACATAACCAAATTGTTTGACAGTTATAATTTTGTTACTTAAAATTAAACCATTATTCTTCTTCTTTTTCATAAATCTGAACAGAGCACTACAATTTATACATAACGAAAAAAAACAAACCACGAGATAGAAAAAATTAAATACTGCAGTTAAACGCGAATTAAATCTAAATATAATATTTTAAAATGTCTAAAAAACATAAAAACTAATTACCTTTCGTGTCAGTCTATTGTCTATGTAATTATTGGTAATTTCAGTCCTACTTAAAATTGCATTTTCCAATCAATAAATTTTAATAGTATTTTTTAATAATGAAGAATATTTCTTAATCTTTATTTTAATGAGCTTTTTGTTTAATACCTTATTATTTTATTGTTTGGAATATAAGCAAAATAAAATATTGTAAAAACTCAAACATTAAAAAAAAAGTTTAAATTTTTGGATATAGATATTAGAAGAAATAGTTATTTATGTAGCAAGTCGTATTTTTTATCAGGAATGTGGAAATTATTTGCCGAGGCGAAAGACGAGGCAAATAACCACGTGAGTGATAAAAAATGACTTTTTCTACTCCCACCTTTAAAACGCCCTTTATCGTACATGTTTCCATGACACTAAGTGACCTTTTAAATACACATTGACAAGTTGTGGCTTTACAGCGCTTTAGTCACGGGCTAAAGTAAGCAACAGGTTTTTAGTCACGGGCTGAAGTTAGTTTTAAGTTAGTTGACAGTTGTCAAATGTCATACAATCGTTAAAATAAAGTGCCTTTCTTGTAAATTAATACTAAATGTGAAAATTATTTTATTATCTCAATACAAAAATACAAAAATATTAAATAGTTTCTCAACGCCAATATTTGAAAAGTTTATATGAACATTGTACTGACCTTTTAATTTCGCCGGCAGTAAACTATAACTTAAATTCGGACACGGACTCTACTGTAAAGTCCTCATAAAACATTTCCTTTACTTTCACTGTGAAAAACTGTCAATTTTCAAGATATATTTCGATTTATAACCTTTATAATTGTGTTTATAAAATGTAAAAATGTGACATTTGACAGTTTCCCCTGTTGTTTCATAGATGGCACTCTATACAAATTTTTGATTTAAATCATTTTAAGATAATAATAAGTATTTGTCGTAGAAAAAGTATAGTATGCACCTCGTTTATAAACTTTTCCATACACTCATTAACTTAAGCACTCGCTCGCAAGCTCGTTCGTGCCTAAATTAAATTCGTGTATAAAATGGCGTTTATCAAACTTGATACATAATATACTATTAATCCCGAGGTGCACATTAAATTTTATCCGAAATCACATTTGATGATCAAATCAAATATCATTTGAATGTAGGAAGTGTCTACGTATACTGTTTGTTGCGACGGTTATTATATATTTGCCCGCCGCGGCGATGTTTTAATCTAATTAACAAAATTAACTTATTATTTTTATTAAACAACATTTTATGAAAGGGTCCAATCGACATCAGCGACGGTGCTTTTTCTTAAATATTATTTAGTTGCTGCTGAGGAGCAGTAGACACATCTTAAAATGTATAATGGGTTGCATACAATACTCGTATTAAATCGGCAGTACAATTATACTTTACTGCCGATTGTTGATTACTTTACTGCCGATTTCGGATAAATGTACTTATTTTATAATTATAATCTTAAGCTTAGGTTTACACTTCTGTAAAGGCTCATCCCGACTGTTAATAAAATATACAATCGTTCTTCTTACCTGATTTTCTGGAAAACGAGTCTGCAAAGACGAGGCATTGAATGGCTTCCGAGGTGATGTTTTCCAAGGAACTCATCGAGCTGGATCTTGATCTGGAGAACGAGCTGTCCAGCTTATCTACGCGGCCCATAAACATATATTTTGTCAGTTATGAAGGTTTTCACTTTGTTTTTCTATTTTTTTTTATATATAAGAGAGAGGGGAGAGGGTGATGGACAATGCACTACTCATGCGCCCACAAGCATCAAACTTTCAAATTAGGGGAAACACCAAGAAATAAGATTTGATAACAAATTCATTTTAAAATATATTATGTAGGTACATAATTTCTGTTGAATTAGAAATCACAACGAAAATTGCCTGTAATTGTACATTTTAGAATGTTAACTACTAGTTTTTGACATCAAAAATTGTAAAATTTAAAAAATTACGTGTTACTGTCAAAAGGTCTTATGAAACAAAATAATAGTTTCAAACATAACCTTAAAATCAAACGTTTTTATATTTAAGTCCTCTTAAAAAAAGCTGAGTAAATATATCTACGAGTTAATGGCAACATAATATCATAAATAATACATAATATAATACCCGTTTTTGGTCTTTTACCGTTAAGTAGAGACTTTCACAATCAACGCTTTTAATAATGTTTGTTTTGTTTGAATTTAGACGACGATTTGTTTTATGATTTATACTAAATAACAATTTTCACGTAAATCATTATTAAAATGTGTATTTATTGTATTTAATGGGTACAATTCATATTTACCCGAAAAAAATTAAATACTTTCAAAATAAGGTCGTTATATATGCCGTTGTTATAAAGATTTTAGTTTTTTTCCTATGGATATATAAAAAGAATAGCTTATTTGTTTAAACTTTATTTACGTTATAATATATATTATATAGAATATTTGAATTTTTAATAATAGTTTTTCAAAAACATGCAAAAAAATATAGTAATTGGACACATGGACCATAGTTATTGGACATACAATTTTTATATAAACATAATAACTTTACATCAAATAACATAAATTGTTAAATATTTTTTAAAGATAAATTGCTGTTTTAGGTAACTTTTTTTTATTTCGTTTTTGTTAATATCATATAATTCATAAATTTTTTTCTCGGATTCCTCATCCCTTTTCTGTATTCTAAAAGTAACTACTAATTCCTTGGTCTGACTTCTGAAATAGTTTGTGAAGGATTTATAATGTTTAGGCTGGAACAGGATGATTGATATATATTTAATATTTTTTCAGGTGCTATGTTAAAAGTATTTTCCGAATTTATTAATTTTGTTGCCATTAGTTTTTTATGTTCTCTATAGTACTGTATTTAAATCACTGTTATTCTACAAGATGAGGACGAAGAAATCACTATATTACTTATGCCACTAATAATTCTCATCAACAGCAATTTGTATCCAGGACATTTAGCAGTCAATTCCTATGAAATATTATTCGCTGAATCCGAAAATGTCGTCAAAAGTTATAAAACTAGAACAGTTTTTAAAATATAATCAATTTTAGGGGACAATTTTACATACTAATTGGCTGGTAAATGTCCGAGATACAACTAGACATATAGACAATAATAGAAATTTACATTTTTACCAACCAGTAATTGGACACTGGCCATTTTACTGTTTGTTTTCAGAATTAAAATTAAAACGCATTAAACTGACAATGTTTAAACCATGAGGAACACATTTATACCACACACTGATCTGTACACTTTTTAGAAATGTTTTTTATTGTAATTTAAACACAGCCCTGCTCTTAACAAAAAAATAAAAATCTTACCACCAAAGTAACGTGCGAACTTTTTTGTCCTATATTGAGCCCAAAATAAAGTAGTTCTATATTATTACCGACTGAGATATAAATATATACAGCGTCATCTAATGATTTGACTTTAAGGTAACTATTTATATAACTCTTGTTTGTACAGTATTAATGTTAATTGTCCAATAACTATAAAGTGTCCGGTAACTGTCTAATAAAAAAAATAAGTAGTTACATATGTATAAAAAGCTTTAAAATACTTTTTTTAATTAAATGTGACCTTTTGGTTAGGTTTAAAAAACTACAATTCAAGATTTACAAAATAGAATTGTTAAATGTTGAAAATTGTACACATACAATGCGATTTTTTGTTGTTATATTTTTGGATTTACCCTGTACAGAATCTGAAAAATAAGTGGTTAGATATAATCAGCTTGCAAAGACCTTCTTAACGATGTATCCCATTAAAAAAATTTGACCTTTTGACATTAGAACGCCATTTAGAAATTTTTTCAAAAATTGTTTTTGTCAAAGTTTCTAGTTTAACATACTAAAACTAAAATTTACTAACTAAAATTTGCGACCTAAATAAAAGTCCACACTGTTTATATTGAAAAATTGCACAAAACTTATAGGTATTATGTATAATGTTTAAAAATCTATAAGGCAAACATTTTTTATTAATATTAAAAATGAAATGTTAAGAGAAATTTGGCAAATATATTGGATTTATGTATAATGTTTAAAAATCTATAAGGCAAACATTTTTTATTAATATTAAAAATGAAATGTTAAGAGAAATTTGGCAAATATATTGGATTTATGTTAATGTTAAGTAGTAAAAACATTAAGCTAGAACTTAGTAGTGTGACATGGTGTTTTTATATACCATAACAAATATTTAATAAAATAATGACTAATGCAACAGAAATTTTTAAATTTAATCAAATTTTTTTAACATTATTTATTGGTGTTTAAAAATTTATTTATTATATTAAATTTTAGATGTATGTGTTAAATTAATAAAATTTAATTATTTTAACTAATAGTAATAATGTTTTAAATCAGTTTAAAAATAAATGTTCTGTATATTGTGTGTTCTTTCAAATTGATACGAAAACTAATCTACAATTCTAATAAAAATATGATATTTTGTATTATACAGAAAATTTATACATGTTAATTTTTTGATTTATATAAAATCTTTACCACAGGCTACAAGCTTACAAGGCAAGTCCAATACCAATTATATCAACACACCAAATTGTTTAGTGTGTTAATATTTTTTTTCATTCCTCATACAATTACATGCAAAAGCAATAGCAGTATAATATTCGGGTCATCATTTATAGAAGTAGGTATACATAAATATATTTAAATACTCATTTTAATAAAATTAAAATAGTATTTTTACCTTTTTTCAATAACCATTCTAAACATTCAGCAGAATATAGTAAATATATGTGGATGCAAAAACATGTCATCAGTGGCACTCCTAATAGGAAAATTTGTTTTTTTACAAAAAAAACATTGCCAGCATGAAATCATTTATTAAAATTATTATTTTTACTATAGAAACATTTAAAATCTCTCACAATTTTTTTATTTTATTTTTTGTTTTCAATGTGAAACTAAATAAACTTATTTTTTTAAAACAAAGTTTAATTTATATTTTTTCTTACTACCTCGACTCAAAATACGTTGTTTCGTCCCCGATTTCACGGCAGAAAGTTTACGTTTCTTGCATTGGTCAAGCTATACGCGCACACTCTAATAGCGGGAGTAAAAATTTTTTAGACGCGTGCTTAACATTTAAATTTCGTACTGCCAACATGAGAAACACAAAAATATGACAGTTTTAAACCATAATTTTGCAATTATAACAACAAATAAACAATTTATGTTTTTACTTTTTTACTTTTTATGTTGTTTTAAGTGTTTAATGATACTTTTATTTGTTATAAAGTAGTAATTTGTTAATTAAAATACAACCTTTTATTTTTACTGTATTGGCACCGCTGAATTACCATGACAACGCTACAGTTTGATTGATTTTGAATGTAAACGTCAGAATTAAATTAAACGTCAGATTTTAATTTTGACACAAATTTTTTTATATACATTTAATTTTTTCCCGTATTTTCTGCAGGGTAGTAAGAAAAATAGTATACACTACACGGGCAGAAAGTGTGAGAGTCCTGAACTGCGCGCCATGATGCCCTCGGCTTCGCCTCGGGCATCATGGCGCGCAGTGCAGGAATCTCACACTTTCTGCCCTTGTAGTGTAATATACTATTTTATATTTTAATCCCAACAAGTTTGTTTCATGCTGAGAACGTTAAAAAATTCATCATATTTGTGTTGTTAAAATTAAATTAACGAAACTAAAGGAAACATAAGAGAGTAAAATCAAAAGTAACCAGTATTCAGTGTACCAACATAACGTGCAGTAAAGCACAAAAACAGCAAATTTCATAAAGCAAAATAAAAATTAAACACAGTTAATAATCGTTATTATTTTTTTTTTAATAAATTGGCCTTAAAATCTGTGGTCAAAACTGTTCATTCAACATTAAGCACATTAGAAAAAGTGGAGAAGACAGTATAGAACACAGATTAACATTTAGAATTTACTCTGACGAAAAAAAATATGTCAAAATTTTGTTTACTAAGTATATACATTTTGCCAGTTCATTTGACAGCTGAAATGTCAATTTTAACATATTTTTTTTCATTCAGTGATTTGTTAAATAAAGTTTTACAGGTTTGGATAGTACAAGTCACCTTATTCACATGCTGGAACATAACGCGTGTATTAAAAAAAGTGTGTGATTCTTGAGTTCACGACGAAACTTTTTTAAAAACAAACTGAAAAATACAACATAAGAAAAACTTTTAAGTAGGTACGTGTTCAATTTGTTTTTAGACGTCTTGCTCCTGGAAATAAATATAGAAAAATATAAATATTTCTTTTTAATTTTCAGTGCAACCCTATACTATTTAATTGTATTAGTCAACTAATAATGTTATTAATTAAATAGTATTTTTAGGGCAGAGACAAAATTTAACATTTCAAGAACTAAAATCAAGCAATCATCTGTCAAAACTTGACGTACGTTTGACGTTAACTTTGAGGTTATGTGCTCTGAAAATCAAATAATTAAATGACAAATTCTACAGTGACGTGAGAACGAGACAATCTAAGGTGTGATTTTCAAAGGAGGTCTACTATACAAACGCTTTTAAATGCACAAAAAATAATATCACTTTGTACTGCTATTGCTCGTAAAAAATTTCAACTCTAATTTGGGAGGAAAAAACTAAAGTCGA